TTAAAGACTCGGAGAGAGACAAGCTAGAGGCAAAGGCAAGGAAGTGCACCTTTATAGGTTACGGGTTGGATGACATTGGGTACCGCTTTTGGGATAATGAGAATAAGAAGGTTATCAGAAGTCAGGATGTGGTGTTCAACGAGAATGCTCTATACAAGGATGAACTTGCAAAGAGCTCAAATGGTGACAAGCAACCAGAAAAGAAGGATCAAGTTGAGTTAGAAGAAATCTCAGATGATGACGTTGTAAAACCTATTAGTACTCTAGAGATAGGTGAAAGTTCAGGAAGCAGTGGGAGCTCTGATGTATCTGAAGATAGTGGGAGCACAGTGGATAGTAATTCAGAGGATGAGGTTGCAGATGATGCAGAAACCGAAACTCCTATTATCCGTATATCCACTAGAGTACGAAGACCTCCAGTCAGGTATTCTCCTTCATCTAATTACTTGTTGTTGACTGAGAATGGTGAACCCGAGTCTTATCTAGAGCCCTTAAGGATGAAAGATTCCATACAGTGGAAGAAGGCTATGGAAGATGCGTTGAGCTCACTTGATAAGAACCATACTTGGTCCTTGGTCAAGCTCCCGGCAGGGAAGAAAGCACTGCAGAACAAATGGGTGTTTCGGGTCAAAGATGAGATTGATGGCACCAAACGATACAAGGCAAGGCTAGTAGTCAAAGGGTTTCAACAAAAAAGAGGAGTTGATTACAATGCGATATTCTCTCCAGTTGTAAAGATGACTACAATCAGAATGGTCTTGGGTATTGTAGTGTCTGAAGATCTCCATCTAGAGCAGCTAGATGTGAAGACAGCTTTTCTCCATGGTGACCTGAAAGAAGACATCTACATGACACAACCAGAGGGTTTTCCCACAGTTGGTAAGGAAAATATGGTGTGTAAACTAAAGAAAAGTCTGTATGGATTAAAGCAATCTCCAAGACAGTGGTACTTGAAGTTTGATAACTTCATGCAAAGGAGTGGGTACAACAGATGTGAGATGGATCACTGTTGTTACTTGAAGAAATTTAACTCCTCATACATCATCCTTTTATTGTATGTTGATGACATGTTGATCGCTGGGTCCGACATGCAGGCGATCAACAAGCTTAAGAAGCAGTTGTCCAGAGAGTTTGAGATGAAGAACTTAGGGGCTGCTAAGCAGATATTGGGCATGAGCATAGCCAGGAACAGAGTTATCAGTACACTAAAACTTTCACAAGCTAAGTACATCAAGAAAGTTTTAGAAAAGTTCAGCATGGCAGATGATAAATCCAGAAGTACACCTTTGGGAAGTCAGTTGAGACTCTCAAAGAAGAAATCCCCAAAGACAGAAGAAGACAAGGAACAGATGACTAAAGTTCCCTACGCATCTGCAGTTGGTAGCTTGATGTATGTTATGGTATGAACCAAACCAGACATTGCTCATGCAGTGGGAGTTGTGAGCGGGTTCATGTCAAATCCAGGAAGAGAGCATTGGGAGGGAGTAAAGTGGTTGCTACGCTACTTGAAAGGAACATCTGAGGTTGCCCTATGTTTCAGAAGAAAGGGTGTGATCTTAGAAGGGTTCGCTGATGCTGATTTGAGTGGATGTGTGGATTCAAGAAAAAGCACAACAGGTTATGTGTTCACGATTGGAGGTACATCAATCAGTTGGATGTCCAGGTTACAAAAGAGTGTTGCTCTCTCAACCACAGAAGCAGAGTACATGGCTATTGCAGAAGCAGCCAAAGAGCTTATATGATTGAAGAACTTTCTATCAGAACTTGGAATGCATCAGGAGAATTGTGTATTGCATTGTGACAACCAGAGTGCAGTTTACTTGGCAAAGAATCCAGTGTTTCATAGTAGAACGAAACACATTCAGATGAGGTAGCATTTTATTCGAGAATTAATTAATGACAAAACTCTAAATCTGAAGAAAATCCTTGGAACGAAGAATCCAGCAGATATGTTCACCAAAGTGGTTACCACTGAAAAGTTGAAGCTTTGTATGGCTTCAACTGGCCTTTCAGAAGTTTTAGAAAAAGGCATGGCAGAGACCGAGAGAGAGAGAGAGAGAGAGAGAGAGAGAGAGAGAGAGCGAAAGAGAGTGATAAGGAATGTTGCAATAAATGGATGGCAGAAAAAGACTATGTTATTCAAGTCTCAAAGTGGGAGATTGTTGGGCTAGTAGAGCCTTAAATAACATAGTTCAAGGGCCAATATTGAAACTTTACAATTACTTTATTGACGTGTGAAAAAGTAAATTGGTGAATGTCGGCAGAAGGAAATTTCTACGATTCATTTATTGGTGCATGGTCAAAAGGGATTCATGTACGACAAGTTTATTTCAATAATTGTGGCTTTGTATTTCACATATATGTGAATCAAAATTAAAGTTACGGCTCTTGTTAGTATAAATATGTGCACCAACAAGCAGATAAAAAATATAAGATCATAGAGAATAGATACACATATAAATTAGTAAGGTATGAATTTTTGTGCAGAGCCTTAATTTTTGGGAGCCAAAAATTACGAGTGATATCTTACAGTGAGTGATCAGATTACAATGGCAGATTTTAGCCTTGTATGATTGTAATTTCCTTGGTGTTAATAAAATCCTCTCTCCCTCGTTCGTCCGTGGATGTAGGTCAGATTAGAACGAACCACGTTAAATATCGTATTCAGTTTCGTTTGCAATTTTTCAGTAGATTTATTCCGCGAGTGTTACCGAAATCATTTATCATTTTTCGAAGTGCTTAACTTGTCTTGTTGCATTCCCAACACCTCCTCCTCCTTCCCCCTGTCGGAGCGCTGCTGCAACCACCATCTCCGCCCCACATGTAACCATCTCATCTCTTATTTATTTATTCATTTTTTTTCTGATTTGTTTCTTCTAATTGGAGAGTAGCAGATGTGAACCTTCATATGTTTCATCTTATTTTATTTCTTCTGATTTTCGAGCATAAGATTTAGGAGGACCATTTCATATATAATGTTTCAATCAAAAATTTTGATTTTAACATATATTTTGTGTAATTTTGATTTTGTATGACAATTTGTGTTTGAATTTTTAAATAATTATCATGTAATTTTGATTTTGAATGACAATTTGTATGTTTTTATAATTATTCAGCAACTTCATCAATCATAATATAGAACAACAAAGTAATATTGTTATTTTTCATCATTCAATATAGTCAGTTAGATGTACAATCAAACAACATGGTTTTTTTCTAAGTTAGTGAACTTTCCTAACAAGCACTTTCTCAGATATCACTTTCCCAGACAGCAACTATCAAACGAGTCCTTATTTTGACATGATATATTTTATGCAGAAAAAATATTGCTAAAGAATGTGGAAAAATATATATGGTTGCTATTGTAAATATACAATTGAGTATATTAGATTGATATGTGACGAGACTAAGGTGCTGTTTGTTTTTTCTGAGGCAAAATGTCTGCAGTCTGCGGACCACATCTGTAGAGCTCTACAGTAGAAGAGGTGGACCAAATGTCTGCAGTCTGAAAAAAGAAGACTGTTTGTTTTTTTAACATCTGCGAGCTACTAAAATAAACTGAAATCTAAATAAACTAATTTTTTTAAACTTCAAAGTGATTTTTTAATATTTTT